ATGAACAATGACTCGGGGTACACCAGACTACCATCCGGTCCTCTGAGGAACAACGCGGAGCGCCTGCTTGTTCGGACGACTGTCACCTCGAGTTCAGGTCCTCGACGAGCGGGTCGTGAGGGACAAATCATCAGCTCGATTTTTCGCGAGCCAGGAAGGGAGGAATCCGTAATTTCGGACGAGCCGGAAGGGCTCCATCCCCTCGAGTTCCGCACGAGGTGTTCTGTCGAGAAAATCGGACGGCTCGTCACTCTGGTCGCAAGTCGCTCACGTCTAAAATCACGACACGTCTTCCTGGGAGCGAGTTTTCGAGAGAAATTCTGAAGAACCGACCATGCGAGCTTAGGGTGTGGTTTCGACATAACTCTCGCTTCCTTCGGTCCGTCGATCGGATAAACTCATAACATCGCTGAGCTGTTTTTCCATCTTTTCTCCCGTCGGTCGTCGTCGCCACCGTCTGATCGCTTGAGCGGTCGGTGGACCGTCAGCAGCGCCAGCTTGCTCCATTCGCTTCATATTGCCCGAACTCAATATCCTGTTATGGAGGTAACGAGAGATGAGTAAGAAAATTTGTCGCTCCGATCCTGCGGATGTTTGTTCACATCCGCCGCGGGAGCGTCGATGTCCTCTCGGCGATATCTAATCCCTTTTGAAACAACCTTCGAGCCGGCAGCATCTGACACCTCGATAATGGAATAGGTACATATCCTTTTTTTATCTGCGCAAAGCTCTCCCGTCTGAAAAAAAAATTCTGATGTCTGTGAGAGTCTAGCCGTCATTGCTCAGAGACTTTTATTGTTATACTCTGGGTGTCGAGGCGCTCGGTTCTGGCTCTCTCACGTCGCAGTCACTGCACGGTGATAGATGACCGAATGGGATCTCCCTAGATCTGAGAGTCCCTTTGTTGACGCAGTAGATTTAGACGTCGTCTCGACTGCCCGTCAACCCGTCCGCCCGACAGTCTAACTCCGCGACAACCTGCCGACAAATATGCAGATGGCGAGTCCCGGTTGGAGTTTTTTTCCATCCGACGCTCAGTCGGCTTGTCGCTCGAAGGCAAGACGTTATATTATCACAGTTGGCGTGGACAAACACTCACCGACACGCACAGCTCCCATCATATTTACCCGCTTGAGCGGAATATTGAACGATCCACTGGTACGACGGCGTATGAGAAGCCAAAGAAAGGTCTGGGACTCTCGTCAATGTTTAACGCGAGCGATCGGCGGAATCTCCATAGAGCATTCGACGTTTGCTCACACCATCGAACGGATGCTCCACGTCGCCGCCCTCGTCGTCGTAGTCGTCTCGGGACCCAAGCACATCCGAGCTAGACGTACTAGTCCGTTAAGTCGACGGACAAGTCAACATTCGCGAGGTTCGCGTGCGTCGACAAGCACATGCAGATCAGCCGCTCCGGTAAATACCGAAACTCTGTGCAAATGATACCCGAAGTGCCTAAATCACTGCTCGCGACGAACAGTGGTGATCATTCTCAGCGTGTGCATATCAGCGTAGAAGAACAACCCTAGTAGTCGGGTTAGATGTTACCAGGCACGGGGTCAGAGGACTTGAGCGCGAGAACATACAACGAGCTTATCCCGGCTCAAATCCGATTCGCTCGCTGATGTTGTGCTAAGAAGAACGAGTGCGAGCTCAAGCTTTTTCCCTCTTCGTACCGACCGAGTCTGAGCCTCGCTCCGCTCGACTTGCGCTTCCCCGACAGCTGATTGTGAGCGGGGATTTAGTTGAATTCTGTTTGATCCGCGTTTTTAGTCTCCTACGGATCCGGTCTACAGAGAGGAATATTTCCAACGCGGAGAAGGATCGGCTGCGGAGAACTTCTGTGGTATAAGACTCCAAAATAGAAAAGTCCTCGGTGGAGAGTTTCGGAATTTCTAACTCGGAAATCAATCATCTCGGGTTCCAGAGTTTCACTCGAAGTGCTCTCTTGATTTCCGAACAGCACATTTCGTACGGTAGAGTTCAACAAATTGTTCCGACTGGGCTCGAGCTCGTCCGGGTTCGATCCGCTCGGTAGCCACTGCAGTCAAGCTCCGCACGGCTCTAGACTCAGAGCCATGCTGCACCCGGAGACGTCCCAAAGCGGAGTAGAAACAGTTGTGGGTCCGTTTTTCCGCTGGGGCTTTATCAGCACCGAGTTAAGCTGCTCCCATATCGGCAATTGCGGTGGTAACGGAGAGCGTAACTCTCGGTGAACTGCCTGATAAACGAAGTCGTAGAACAAAAACAGTGGACGATAGGAGGGAACGACGTCGGAAGAGCGAATTTTCTGATCGCAATCTACAGCTTGACAACCACGCTGGCATCAACAAAGAGTCTAAGTAAGAGGAGCACTCGACTATCTAACATCCAATATTATCCGACCCTAAGCCCGGTTTGCTGTAGTCGGTGTTGCCTTTCCGTGCCGCTGAAGCGTGTACAAGATTGTCCTGTTAGCAGCGTACGCTGCCCTGGCTATTTCCTTCATTTCCGCACAGCTAACAACTTCCCGTGGCAGCCCATTGAAAAGTGCTTCGACTTTCTTCCAGTTCACAAACTTACATCGAGTCCTGCAATCCTGAATTCCGCCGGAACTCTTCTTCCGGAGAACCCCGACGTCAAAGAATCGTGAACGGCGGCTACGATCGAGTCGATTGCGTCGTCCGATTCCTTCCGCCGGGACTCCTGTCATCTCTCGAGTCCACCATCTCTTACATGGCGGTATTACCAAGCGGAACTCGCGGCGGAAACCACGGATATCCCCAAGGTGGTAGACGCAAGCGGAGGGAAGTTTGGATGGGAACATGGCGTTATCGAACGACTCCAGCACCATCACTGGAGCCCGCGGTTTCAAGCAATCATCATATCTTCGTGAATTTATAATCAATCAATCACTGAAAAATATTTTTTTCGATTTTTCGGTGAATTCTTCTCGTTCGCTTCCCAACGAGGAGAAAGATTACAAGAAAAAATTGGAAGAAAAATATTGATCAATGATTAAGAACTTCGGAAAATTATGAATGCTCGAAACCACGGGCTCCAAACATCACCGAGTTAGAGCGCCGTCACTCCACAGTCTGTATTACAATAGAACTTCGATGCAGTTTTGCTTGAACGAGTCCCTTCCTCGATATTGAAGGTACGCATATCTTCCGGGAAATCATCTCCCGTCGTGTTCAGTCGTAGGGCAAGCAGGTCCGCGTGTCGCCTAGGACACAGTCTCTTGGATAGCCACATGAACGCGGTCGATCTCGACTGGCATGAGCAATAGGCGAATTCGGAGACGCTTTCTGCGATTTGCTGGGAATATTTCCAGAATTGTCTCTCTTATTATATGTCTCCAACGGTCGAGAAATGAGAAAGAACGAAATTCTCTGGAAGAAATACACGCTCGTGTCGCGGGGGCACAAATATTCATCGTCAGCAGCGAGGACTTGCCTTGTGTGCAACGACGAGATTGCTGTCCAATTTACTCGTCGATATTTGCCCGTAGCAAGTTGTCCGCCCTCCTCTCCGCTCGTTGGTTCGTTTGTTCGTTTATCGGGCGAGCATGAGCTTTATTAACCCGTAGCCGCAAGCGAGCGAGGTTGCAAGGCTACGAGACCTGTTTGCACAAGCATCACGGAGCAGACCATCGGGCAACTCCGACATCAGGAAATTAATTATCCACACAAACATCTACAGATTATGGGCGGGGAGATCGAGCGGCGAATCGAACGTGAGATTCGCGACTAAACGTTTGTGCTTCTAAATCCCTGAGAGAATCAGTGTGTCACGTCTTTAGCTCAGTAGACGAGACACTCAATTTCGGAGAGGGGTAGGGGGACTCTGAGCGATTACGATGAGGAAACATCGCTGATTCGCTCGTTAATGCATTTTACTCGGAAGCGAAGTTCGTTTCTTCCCTTCCGAAACTTACTCATTTTCCTGCCGAACACCTAATTGTTACGTATTGCCGTCCCGGACGTTGTGCAAACAGTAAAGAACCGCTTGAGTCGCTTGTCCGTCCACCTCGTCGTGCTTTGCGGCGACTCAGTCGAGCGCGATGGAAACACATGACGGGGCTAGAGTTGAAGAAACGCCGCACAGGAAACATCAAATAGGACGACATCGCTCCGGGCGCTGGCTCCGCCTGAAGGCACACGCTGACAGCTAACGATGGCAATATTCTACTTTCGGAAGTCAGACACGCATTTGTCCGAACGTCAGCGAGCGGATTCTTCGCAATGGCTTCCCCGTGAATGGGGAGAATCATCAGCGGGCCTGGCTCCACTCACGTTTATCTCTCCCCTTGAGCGAGCGACTTCAGAGAGTGCTCTTGTCCTGGGAGTCCGTGACTGCATTTGAACCTCGTGGGTGTCGCCCTGCAATGAGCTCCGATGGACGGATAAAACGAGCCTGCTCAGGGGGAGATTATATCAGGAGTTTCCGACGTCAAATGGCGAAACTCGATCGAAGAGAGCGTTGAAGGTCCGATTGCTCCGACACGCGATTGAATCTCGAAAAACGAACATCCGCGGCGATTCCTGGCTCCAAAGTATCCACCGTAGAAGAATTCTCACAGTATGCCGCAACTTTCCATGAGGGAGTTTCCAATCGTCACGGGCTCGCCGAACCTGAATATCACTGGTGACTATCGAGCCCCCATTCGACCGGAGAACTGTGAGGGGGAGTGACAGAGACCATTCGAACAATCCAATGACATTTATTATAAAGTACCAAAAACTACAATCAATCGAGGCCGATGGCAAACAACGACACCTACTTCGAACGACTCTGACCTCTCCTATGAATCTAGAACATTCCATTATCACTCAGACGATCCAGCAGACCCAGAACCCGGAAACGATCACAACACAAGCCCCCGCAAAATGAATGCATTGTTGAGCGATCAAACTCTAATCTTCGTGAATCCCTTCCCCCTCCAACCCCTCCCCCTCTCCTACCCCCTCCAGAGCCCGTAATCTCATCCTCAAATCGCAGTATTTCGTTCCGTATCATCTCTCTCTACTAAGCAGATCTCCCCGGTCTTCCAATAGCGCTCGTTGTAAGTTTTCGCTCCGGAGGATTTGCTGCATGGCGAAAATTTGTGCATCAGTTCCACAATAGTGCACTTTCATACTAAAACAGGTACGATCGGCCCCTGTGGAATTCTTGTCGTCACAGTTATCTTGGTCTGATCTAGGTGAAGTAAAACGAACGCCGCGATGATGGTGCCGATGATGTTGGAAGCGGATGCTGATGTGCTGGACTCCAGTCCACCGCGAGAGCAATTCAGCGCATTGCCTCCCTTCATCCGCGGCCAGGAAACGATGCAATCTCTCGGAGATATTAATTTTCTCCGGTGGAGCTGCAGACATATTCCCCCGATCAGTACTTATCCATCCGGTCAGAAGTCTGCAGTGAGACTCGAGTAGTGAACCCGAACCGACGGACTAATCAGAAAACGGACTCACCGTCCATGATGATGGTATTTACTTTATGAGCGCCTTGATCACACGGCAATCCGAGGAAGCAAGGATCCTTATTTATTGCGAAGCGAACGTACGCCTTCGAAGCTTCGACCGTCAACAGCGGGCAATCACTCGAGAGGAATCTACGGCACGTTGCACGAAGGCACTCAGTCGGGTAGACGCATTTGCCGCAGGCCAGGAACGTCAAGAAACTCACAATGTACTCGCCTTGACAGAAACAATGATGACAAGCATGATTACTACGCTCCCGGGACGCTCTCCCTCTAGCTCTAGAGCCTACTCTGGCGTCAACTAGTATCGGTGCATCAGCGCCGAATGCTTCTACCCCTCCGAAGGGAACTCGACACGGGCTGGGGTTGAGGAAAATGGCTCATGCGATTGCCTCTCGATCTGCGAGTCGATATCGCGGCGAAAACACGAATCATTGTTCTAGGAAGCTAATATTCCGAGAGGACCCGCCGAGAGACTCTTCCTCATGGGCGAGAAAAAAACAGTCGTCTGCCCAGAGCTCGAATTCGCTCGAACTACGCAGGGTAATGAGTTTACGAAACGACGAAGTACGGGAGGCTCCGAAGGTACAAGTCATGAAACTTCAGGGAACAAAAGATTTGCGCAAGCGAGCCGTCTCGAGCTCATAGGTTCGGAGCGCAGAAACTCATAATGTCCCCATCTCTTTGTGTAACGTCGCGTCCCCGTTGTATTTCGAGCCACGATTATATGATCGACTGTAAAACCTGTAGCGTCCTAGCAGCCGGGGAGGGTCGGTGTTGGAAATTTTCAGAGGAGCGTCGATGAATTCTCGAGAATTCTGTGATCGGCAAAGACGTCCGGGACGCTCGTCCGACCGCTAGACGTCCACTCATTTTTTTCCAATGGCTCCCAAGGATCGATTCTCCGCGTCGACCCGATTACCCCGATCGATGAGAGTACACGAACCCCACTGGGGAACTTACCAACCGTAGTCAGCTGTTTCGGGAGAGCGACAGCATCGGCGAATCTTCGGTATATTGTCTCGAAGCACTCGGCGCAGATTATCGCGTCCTTGGCAGTCAGCAAGTTCCCAATGGCATGGGCGTGCTCGATCCGAGATCCTCTTTCTAGTCGTGCAAGCCATTCCGTCAGATGAGCTCTGACTCGCTGGTGTGACGTTACCAGAGAAAACTTCCCCAGACGTTCGTCGATTACTTGAACGAGGATGTTCTCTCGACATTCGCTGAGCTCGTGCACCGTCAACATCGCTGCAGAATCAAAGATACCTGTCATTATTCGATACGAGCGCGACAGGCGTCGCAAGTCGTTCCAGCTGAATGAGTCGCCCGATAAGTACTATGTGCTACCGGGCAGCCAGACGCGCGAGCCCGGTTCCGAGCTCGACTCACATGGATAGGTCTGACGCAACCACCACTTAGCTTCGAGCAGAACGTGGGCTATACACCACGGGAAACTATAGAAAGCACCTCCGGTTAGAGGTTGGAGGGCGTAGGCGGCCATGAACCAGGCCGAGGCTTTTTGCAGACGCAACATCCGCCTGTCCTCGGCCGCATGAGCTCCGAGAACAATGCAGTCATTTTTGAGTTCAGCAAAAAATTGCTCCCGAGTCTCTTCCATCAAAGCTGTCTTCTGCCGATCGACGAGCAGTGCCACCGAAGCTTTCTCTGCGCGAGACTGAAATTTTCCAAACATCGATTTCCCCTGTTTTGAATAGGATCAATTCAGCGCCAGCTCCTAACGAGCAGAAGCGCCAAGGCGCAAGGAGTCCGCGTCCACAAGACCCTCGAATCTGTGAGCGAGAACTCGCGAGGGGTCCCGATGCCGAGCTCCGGTCGACTCGGGGTCAATTTCACCGCGATTTCGAATAAACGTACTCACCGCGTCGAACGTATTCAGGGTCCCGATACGACCGCTGAAAACTTCCCCCTCCGACATTATACCATGCTGGTCCATGATGTTTGCCAGACGCTGATTATATCTTCGCATGGCTGCGTAGGCGTCGTCTCTGAACATCTGCCAGCCGGGAACTTCTAACGGCGAAAACTTATGACCACTGCTCAGCTGGGTATCGTTGACCGACATGATCTGTCGCACAGTGCGGTAGAGGATACCCAGAGCTTTGTTCGACTGATACGAATGCTTGTGGTCGCCTTTCTCCATGAAGTCTGGGAATCTTTCCGGCTTCTCGTTCGGATGCAGGTCCACCGAGTGTCCTGTTTTCGCGAAATCGAGAGCTTTCGAGGCCTTGTCGACCAGGGCCAAGCATTCGTCCGAAATCAGTCCACGTTGGTCGGCCCAGGCCAGATGTGCGTTCGATATTATGCCGATCATATCGTTCGCTATGTAACTGCACAGGAAGCTGACTTCGTGCACCGGGCGTTGGTACGGCTTGACGACACCGAGCGGTTTGTCGTCGTAGAGATAGGGTTCGACGTTCTCTTCGAAAATGAGATCCTCCTTCCAGATACAGATGTATTCGTCGCCATCGAGATCCGAGCCTGACATTTCGAAAGGATGCGGCGCTTTCCCCTTCGCCGGAAACACGATACAGTCCCGGACATGGTGCAGTTCAGGTATGTCGACAGCGCGGAGTCGACGGACGTCTCCCGGGTGAAGACACGGACATTTCGTGACAACAACATCGGCATCGACAACGCGCGTCCGTGCTTGGCTGATCTGGAATGGAGCGGGTTCCGAACAGTATCCGCGCTGTCGGGTTTCGGAGTAACTTTCGTTTATTCATCTAAGAATGTCCCAGAGGTGAAGGAGCGGAATCGGAGCATTTTTCCAGGTAGGACGGGGATCCGCAAGTACTGGGAAATTTCTGCCGATTCCTCCCTAGCGGAGACGCGTCTAGAAATCTCGCGTTTTCAATCTCTCAAGGACATGGTATGACTGAAGATCGGCGGCCCGGACGACGAAGGCTTCCGGTTTCACGTCGAGAGATTGAAGTCGACCCGGGGCGTTGTTCCCACACAAGGGGGGACATTCGTGGTACGTGACGCTGATTTGACTATTCCGTATCGCGAAGAGAAGATCAAAGAACTCACGTCTGAATACGGCATCTCGGTGAATTGAATGAATACTTGACCGTATTCTAGGAGCCCCGTCTCGTCGACGACTCCCAGCATGTTGCGGCCCTCGTTCACCGGGATGGCGATGTTGGCTTTTTCTTTAAGGCTCATTAGCGAGGTTTTCAATAAATCAAATAGCATCTGAGTAAAAAAGGGATCCTGTACAAGTTGCCACCCGGTCTCGGCCAGACCGTAGAACGGTATTGGCGTTTTAACGAAACTCGTCAATACCCGCAAAGCCGAAGCTTCACAGACAAGAGAGTCGGCTATCTGTAGAATCATTTCAAGTTCCAGTCTAAGAAATACCTGGAATGGATCGAAAACGTTGATTGGCCTCTGCCGGTCCGAGGTGTGCGCTCTGCGAACGGTAGAAAAGTAGCTCTGTATCGTCAGCCTCGTTAGAGGAGCTTCCGACCGTCTCCACGCAGCCCCCGGCGAAAATCAGGATTGAACAACTCACGTCAATTTTAACTCCGTGGTGCTCAAGTATCGCGATGAAAGGTCGGTTCAAGAACATGTTCATCGGAGCCGACCATTTGATAACTTCGAGCTTTCGATTCGAGTTACATTCGAACTTCACCATGCTTTTTCGCAGTACCAGCTGCCGACCCTCGAGGGAAGGGTCCAGGCAGACCATACCCTTACAGCCTCTGCGAATGAATGGGAAGACAGTTCCATGGATTATCTAGAACCTCCGCGGGCTCATTCTCGAATCTTACACTTCCTCCTCCAAAGGTTAAAGCGCGGAGAGAAAGGCTCCGAAGGCTCGCGAGAGGTCTGAGAGAATGAGGGACGACTTTCACGGACGAATTTCCGTCCGGGACTGACTATCAAGTAGGTTAGGGCTAGAGATCTAATTTCAAGTTTCCAAGAGTCCAGTCCTAGCTGAGTTCCACCGGCTGAAAGGTCCAGATCAGCGGAGCATAGGCTAATCTGTGAGGCCATAAGTAGGTCCCGAAAGCCCTTCGAAGTTTCCGAAGGCTCAAATCGGATTGGAATCCCCAGACTGCGCACGTAGTGAACCTTTCCTGATTCTCGGATCGAGGTGTCGTCTGCGCTCGCCAAGATTCGGCTACCGAGCGGATCGACTGCGATATAGGGACACGAGCCCGAGGGAAGAGAAGAAATCTTGAGCGAGCCCCTACCTGTAGCGAATTTGCAGGGCGGAGGGCTGGGAAATGGTATGGGGCAGACTTCCCCATACCTCACTTAATAAACTCGGAGATATCTTGCCACAACCGTCTGAGAAGCAATACGGTTTTTTCGAGGTCGGATGCACTTGCTCCGGGTACCAAATATCATCTTCATGGACCTCCTCGAGCGGCGTCACTTCAACCGTTTCCTGAGCGACAAGGAGCGAACGTAAACAACCGGAAAGGCCCCGTCCTTGTGAGCGAGCGGGTGGACGGACGGACGGGCTAACGCCCATGGTAGCATATCTACCGTCTCTCGGAATGAGGAAAGGAAGATGAATTGAGGTCTGAAACCTGTGTTGACGAGAAACATTGTCCCATTCGAGCCATCCGGGTGGCCACGTTGCTGATATTGCTGAAGTCCCCCATCCATTGTCGGATCGAGGCAGCATCGAAGCCCGATGGATCCAGCGCATAGAACCAAACGCCGTGGTCACGCAATTGCGACGACGAAGCTGCAACGTACATGTACTTGCGATCTCCGATCTGAAAGCCGCATAACCGCTGCGTTTCGATCTACGGGCAGGTGGACAGCTATACATGACTCTCAGAGGTGGGATTCCTCAGATTTCTCCACGTTTCCGCCGAGCCCGACTGACTGAGACAGGAACATTTACCGTGATTCCGCTTCGGATGTGGTCACCGACGACGTGATTCAGGAACGGCAGCTTTTCCCTCATATTGAGAACCGAGAATGTCAACTTGTCTAGATTGTCATCGCGGAAGCAGACGCGGATTGCGTACTCGGAATCGAAATGTCTCAGAATACGGTTTTGTGTATGCAAGTCAGCGAAACGCAGGATCATTCTCGTCGGCGTGACGAAAACTCGGCGTACGTAGACTGTTCCCGGAACTGAAAACGAAAACTCCACTTGAAAAATGTGCGTCTCACCCATTCAGTTTTCCTTCGACCGTCACCGATGCTGAGCGGATTCGCTTCGAGGCGAATCGAGTTTCTGGACGGGACAGGGTTCAAATCCAGGAGGAGAAACGACCCAACAACGAACCGGGCATCTCGCGTGCTATGCCGTCGGAGGAATAGTGTTCTGTGAAGAGCATTTCGAGCACCGATTCAAAAGCGATAATGGCTCCGTTCTCGAGCGAATTGAAAACGTCTCCCAGCGCGAGGCTCAGCGAATGGGACGACTTGAGTTCCAAAGCCCGGATCAGAGCCAGGACCTCTTGAACTCTGTTGTATGTGAAGAGTTGATCGATGATCTGGAACACGAAGGAAAAGAACAAGAAGTAGAGCCGTAGCGGGGGCAGGTGGCGGTCCCTTTCAATATCGTTCAATACAGGCCACGGAGGGGAGAGAGACGGACAGAGTGACAGGCAGGGAGAGAGAGAGAGGGAGAACTACACGGTATGAACCTCATTGCTCCACGAGAATAACGCACACATGGCGTACTTGATTTCGAACGATCTAAGGAGCGGGATAAAAGCTTCCTGGATAGCTCGCAATCTGGCCCTGTCAACGGAATGTATTAATCTTCGTTCCACGCGACAGTAAGCGACTTCGCCGTAGTGGGAGACTTTGCGGCTCACTCGGGATATCAAGTTGTTCAGCTGTAACATAGACAATGGGTTACGGTGGAGTTGCCTCCAAACGCCTTTCCCTGGATCCGAGGAATCAACAGAAGAGTTCTCCTTCGGTTTCGGAAAACAGAAAGCTTCCGCGAAAGCGAACGGCCGAGCCGATGCGCGCACGCCCAGGATCGCGCATTTGTCTCTGTCGTAGAATCGAAGGGGGCTTTCGGTGTGCTTCGAGGGAGCGCGCGATCCGAGAGCGTACCCCGCACGGATGACGTCGTGCCGACATTGACGGTATGACTCGTCAGCGTTCCGTTAATTCCTCATTGTTCCGCCGAGATAAAACACGTCCGAGAAACGCACGCGCATGACTTACGTGCGTGGAAATATGCTTCCGCTCGTTGTACGAGTCTAGATGGGAGCACGTATGTAAGTCCGTCTTCGGAATCTCGACACATGGTGCAGAGAGAGCTTACATCGGTTATTTTGCTCTGGAGAACCTATTCCTCTATGTTTCCGTCTTTCCCTCCGCCGGGCTTTTGCGGGCTCCATGTGCGTGACTCGGAGAGGTCTAGGGAGGCCATGATTCGGCACATGCAATTTCTTCCGACCGAAAATTCGTTCCTATTACGCAGCGCAGCAGAACAATCCGGAATTCTCCGGAGAATCGACTCGTGAAAGTCTCGATAGAGTTTCACGAGCTTCGATCGGGCTTATCAGGGACGATGGATGCTGGTCAGTTACATTAAAAAAAATCCGACCCACTGTGATTCGCAGTGATTGCCCGGAGCAACGTGAACGAGAAGCAGGAAGTCGTTGCTCGGAACGACGGAAACCAATATTTTGCAATTATCGCAGCGCAGCCTAAATCCTCGACGTCTGGGAGAATCGCGATTAACAGCATTATCGAGAAACGATTGGTGCTCACCGTTGTCGTGGCTCCCCGAGCGTGGAGACTCATCGTTAGACAACTGCCGAATTCGGTCGCTGTCGGAAAGGATGCGTCGAACGTGTCTAAATCGTGTTTCCGCTGATACGTTGAGATATCCTCTAGACGAAGCTCCCCACTCGACGACGCCAAGTGGCTCTCAAGTTGCTTGTTGTCGACGAACGACACCAAACTCACCTGGGGCAAAAGAATGTGCAGAGCAAATGAGCGAACCTCTCGATCGGAGTCCTGCCCCCGATTAAATGCCCCCCCCCCACTCCTTTCCCCTCTTCGATAACTTATATGTGGCGCCGGGGCTCACCACTCTCATGTGGAGCAACAGGTAAACATGATTTGGGTCTAGAATGGTGACCAACATCTTCTGGATCTGGTTATAGCGCACGGTCAGTCGTAAAACACCAACGTTCGCACGCTCGAGGAACATGGACAATGTTTGCGCAGAGTGATCGAATACGCTCAGTGCCGCTCCGAGACGGTGATGCTCGCAGAAAATCGATCTCCCTGAAACAGAGCGGAGATGGGAGAAGAGAACGGAATACAGCGAATATCGAGACATGTTCGATTCCGATTTCCCAATAACTGCACACTCGCGCTGCGTTCGCGTGGATTATTGCTGGCTGCGTACCGACAAGGTTTCCAATGGACAGCTCACACAGCTGGATTTCATGGGAACGTTCCCAGGACGTCGTCGCTAGAATATGGTTCGGGAGCGTCGGCAAGGCCCAGAGCGGCATCTGTTGACACCAGTTTTCGAGCAGTTTCTGCTGGCGAAACTCCGAAGACAGGACGGAACTCTGCAGCTGTAGTCGATACACCACCTGCGGAGTTGTTCAAAACGCCAGCCGCGTTGTGGGAGAGTTCGGATATGCACTTCGAGCAGATAAACAAAGTTTGTGGGAATTTCCGTTCGGAAGCGACTGTATCCCAGGTCGGACCACGCGGGAGCGCATCCCGCAGAGATGCAGGCTCCCGACCCGTTTCCGGTCGGGCCGTCCTGGGCTCAGTCGGACCGGGAAAAAGGAAATCATTTTCGAAGAAGTTCACCGAGAACAGTGGAGAGTATATTTACCACTTGCACAGGGTCCTCATAATATTTAGGTCGGGGTTTGGGCGCCACCTCTCGGAGGGACCAGGACCTGACGAATAGAAATTCTACCGCTTTGACACCAGCCGTTCCGGAAACTGACGATAAGGGAATCTCATCGGAGGCTATCTCCGAGATAAGTATCTCAAAATTCCAACAGATTATCTACGGTATGAATTCGATGGAATAGTCTCTCAACTTTCCGAATCAGGTAGATCAAATCACACATCCGTGATGATGTAATTGGGTCGAAAATGAGATCTTCCCGTATTTCAAGGAGAACGTGTGTGGGATGACGACCCGAATAAATCGAGCGTTCGGTGCAATCTCCATGTCTCGACACGAATTAGGCGATAATCATCGAGTTCAAAATGTTACGGGGGGCTTACGCGAGGAGAGTCTGACGACTGAAGAATTCGTTGATAAGTTCAAGATGGATCTGCACGTCTCCGTAGAAATGTACTGCGATATCGAAACTGGAAACAAGCGTCGGTGTCGAATTAGCAATTTGGCTGTCGGCGCGATTTTCCGAATCCGAAAAATGATCATCGAGGTCGGGACTCTGTCGGAGACACCGACGGGTTGCGGGAGCGGAAAAATCGAAACCCTCGAATTCTCTGAGTCTGACGCGAATCTTCCAAGCCTCTCTGTTATCTGGTTCTGCACTAAAAACTTCTGAAAACTTCGAGAGCGCGGCGTCGTCAACGAATCAACTCACGTCCCGGAATCCAGCTGATGAGATTGCTGGTTACATCGGAGTCGCATGACCGTCGCTCTCGGAATCCAAAAAAGATCCTCCGAAGTCTACGGCCGTAGAGCAAGCACCACGTCACTTATGCACTCACACTCACTCGCAGCTACCCACGGGAGAGGTCCCCGATCTGAAATCGATTTTTACTTGTATTTCTGCGGTGCCCTCCGCTCGGGAATTTGAGGTGCCAAAATTGCTCGGAGTGCGGTGGGGCTTCCTTCCTGGATAATCCGGTTTTTCCTTGTAATCACATTTTCAGAAAAAAACAGGACGGGATCGGCAAGCGACACCATGCGGCGGAGTTTCATCTACGACAGAGGCCGACGAAGTGGGGAATGAAGCTCTCTGGCATCAGTTTCTTTTTTGTCTCCGGATTCGATAATGATTAACGGCGTCCAGTTTGCTCCTCCGGAACTTCTTCGGAGGAAACCCCCAGGCTATCGGTCATCTGGAAGGTTCCACGATGCTTTTGTGAATCTTCCACGAGACGCGCCGAAACTTTATATCGAGAGAAATAGATATTGCTGAAGAACTCTAGGAAGGGCTCCGGTCGTTGTGTCAATATTTATCCTCTCGGTCAGCCGGGGAACCGCTGCTCGAGGGACGAGAACTGTAGGAAATACACTATCGGACAATACCCGGAGTTCTGAGGACAGGCGGAGGGGAAACGGCCAGAAACTGTCTCTTGAGCGTAGCCTTTCCCTGTAACGATCCTGGAGCAATAATTGAGATCCACATGAAATATACATGAATGATTTGGCGGGAATCGTACGATAAGCATGAGGCATGGGGAACATGCATCCCTGTCAAGGGAACGTTGTTGAGAAAACCCTCATCGAGAAGACGAGCGACTCTTTGCTTTTACGAAATCTAGGATGGCATGACCCGTTGCAGGGACCGCCCAGTCGATATCTTTCACGTAAGTCATCTTCTCACGTAATGGATCGGAATTACATGCAATGATTCCGGGCTCCTAATTAGCCCAACGCTTGGGTTTCTGCGCGACGTAAGCGCAAGGAACACCAGGAATGTGACTCCGCGAGCGCGGTCATTCTCGCCTCCGCGAGCAGACTCGACTGATGCGGACGTATGGGCCTGACAATATGGGAGCGTTTGATCTATATGCATACTCCCGGCTAGCTCCTTCACTTAGTTCGGGGGAAGAGCCGAACCGCATGCATAAGCGATGAAAGGGCCAAAATATGACCCTGCCTGCGAGCCTGCCAGCACGTTCGTATTTCTTTCGAGCGTTCGAGTTTGCTCTGCGAGAGCGATGTCATCGGAAGATTCCCTTTGTTCCCGACAGCGTTTCCCCCTCTTTTCGGAAAGCTGCTATGTGCGATGGTAGAAATCGCATAGAAGTTGTGATGTTTCTCCGGAATCACAGCATCCTGCCGCCATCCATTTTCTTGAGGTCTCCCAAAGGGCTTCACGCGAGCCCTCTTTGAGCCGACGACCTGTCAGATCAGCAACGATCGTCTTGTGATCCGCTTTCACGCAGAAGGAAATCAATGCCGGCGCATTGTTCCGCCGCACGATTCATCACTTTCACCGATTTTCAGCTACAACGTCGATCTGTCAGTTTTTCTGTCGGTTCGAAGCATGCTAACAGATCTCTGTTTGATGCATGGAGCGATCGGTGGTCCTGAGACATCTTCCTCGTCCTGCTCCGGTGGCGGTGCGGGACACAGAGGCTGTTCTCGGGGAATGTCTCGTGTTCCCTCGTGGGATGCCTCGCGATTAAAATCTCGGGGAGGAAAAGCGTCGATTCCGCCGGCTGCTCATTGAGAAAAAGGTCGATACGGGGGCGTATAGGCGTCAGGGAAACATTGTAGCGCGAGAAGGAGATTTGGGTACGCAGACCTGCTGGCTCAGCTCTAGGGTGTTCTCCAGTGGAGCTAGGCCACCCAAGCGAAACCAGGATGCCGGCGCGGTAGACTGGGCGGACCTCAACCAGCTAGCCAGCCGTTCAGATGACAGAGTTTCTCTGTCGGTTGAGCGACTCTCGGGTTCAGGAGCTCTTTGGAAAGTCTTCTCTCCCTCGAGATGAATTCACCGTCTCGTTCTTACCGCACTATCACCCTACAACGGTGATCAATCAGAACGCTGACTCGGGACCCACCTCAACGGCTTTGGAGTCCTGAACCGGCTGCGGCTGATGTTCTTTCGGACGGGCGAATCCTTCTTCTCTGAGGCGTCTCACGTCTCCTTCATCCACTCGCTGGAACGAATTTAATGAAAATGGAGTGGTGTTTGAGCGGACACTTAGTATCCAATCGGGAGCGTCTTGCCCCGTGAACGATCATGAAATAAAGACGAGTGCGGGTCGCGTGTGAGAACTACCGGTTCCACGCTAGACGATCGGATGAAGGCTTGATTTGAGCGTTCAGCTTCTGACAGAATCGATTATTATCCACTTTCGTATCGTTGAGCTTCGGCATCGAACCTCCAGTACGCATGCGATCGAAAGTTTGAGAAACTGAGGCGAATTTCCCATCTGGAAAGCGGTCGGCATGGCTCGATAGCCTCCCGGCTAGCTCGGATGCAGTGAGGCATGCTCTCTCCGATGTTTGGTTTTGTTTTCTACAACTCTTCGTTTCATCCGGTCTCGTACCTCCCGCTTGTCGTAATGTCTGTTTATTTTCGTTCGCCGCGTTCTTGTTGTCTTCGCTTATATAGTTCAAACAGAAAGCCTGTATGCGCAACCGCATACGAAAGAAATTCGAATGGGGAATATTTTCAAACATGCGAAACCGAAACGTCGATTCGCGGCATCGCAAACACTCGCCCCCAACGAATGGGGCAGTATGACGTCCACCGTAATTTTCCGAAAAATCGGCAGCAGTTCCGCACTCCGACCGCCCACGGACCATTAAACTGTTGATGCTCAGTTCCACGACAGAGATCCATATCGAGCGACCATCAGGTGAGCTTTCACCCGATGATGGGGCCCTGTGAACACAAGGCGGACTCGCGCGGAAATCGAACGGAATCGCCAAACTCCAGGGTGCGGTCCATGGAATTCGGTCCCAAATTAAATGCATTCCGTACTGGGTGCCGACAGACGCTGATCATGTCGATGCTCCGATGAGCTGATCTGTCGAATGATTGAGCGTGTCTTGGACGGAAATCCGACCGTGGACGCGGCTCCTTCGGGTAAATAGGAGCTCGCTCTTACTCCCTCGTCTAAATTGTCGGCTCCAATCCTCGGTTTATTCCGAACCTCTATCGCAGTGTATTTGATCGGTCCGTCGGACGTCTCGCCTGCTGTCCAGCTCACTCCTCGAACGAATGCGGGCTTTATAATTTGGGCCAGCAATTCGGGCGATAATCGACGCCATATCCCACTCGCCTAAAAAGATCGAAGAGGTCCCCTGCTATTATGTATGTGAACGGACGACTATTACGGCACTGGCTCCGAAAACCGCTGTCGAGACCACGAAAACGATGCCCGATGATGATCGCGTGGGCCACCTCGACTCCATGCCAGATCGGGCCTACTTATAGGCCACCGACAGAGACTGCGCGGCGCAACAGAATAAATGAGAGGTATGTCCCCGAATATTGGAATCGTCTTCATCGAAGTCGATTGCTCTCTTCGAACGGAAACTGAAGAACTTCTTTGTGAGACGTAATGATACCCCTGGGAATTTCTCTTCTTTGTTGCGACGCGTGTGCTTCTCGGTCCCTCATTCTGGCTGCTCGCCAGGAGAGCAAGCGCGCGCGCTTCGAATTCGACCGCCCGTGAGCCCGCCCACACAACCGCATTATTTTGTTGGTGATTTTTTCTGTGTAACTTACCGCGGTGTGACAGAAAGGTATCGGCCAGTATCTTATTGTAACAGAATGAATCACGGGCGGAGTTCACCGACGTCCGCGGACACCGGATCCGCTACTATTCCTCGGCTCCCTACTTGCCAGGTTTGAGCTTACCCGTCCGAGGGTAACCTATCAGTGATATCACCTACCCATACATAAATTTTTCGAGTCTGTTCGTCTTGACAGATCTAGATCTTCGCGGAAATGCTCCGTATAGCATCGCGTCTCGCCTTCATTGGAGCTCGTCCCACCATCAAGCGCATAGTTCCTGACACAATGAAGAGAACGTGCGTTTTTCTGCGACGTCAAATTTATTCTCGAAGATACCGCCTGCCCATTTCCGGGCGACTCACTACGTTGATCTGAGGTGATTGACAGTGGAAATCCAGACTCGAACGTCATTCATATCGATATGATAAAGGATTCATGGAGTAGGTACTTCCTTAGCTCCAGGACTCTCCTCCCATTACTGGGGGAGCTAGGAGTCTGCGTGACTCTCGAGGTTGAAAATAAAGACGATGCTCGTTCCGGTGTATGGCACACTGTATATTCACATCCTCATAGTGCTTCGGGTAAGTTTATTCATTTATCTGCTTGCTAATCCTGACCCAAACAGCTCTGGAACTCGCAATGGATCATACGATCCTCTCCCTCGCAAAAATCCTATTTTTTCATTAGGCAACTTTTATGTATGCTCGGGTTGTTGCAACCTAGTTATGTACTATAGGATAGAATGGGGATACTGTGCAGATTCTTCACACGGAACTCAATTCTGAGCGCAATCGAAGCTCGGTGAATTCGAGATTCCGAGGAATCGTTCCAAAACCTTCGTGATAAAGCTAGGAAAACAAACAGAAACATAGAGTAACCGAGGAGGAACACACGTCCGCCTGAGCGAAGGAGACCGAAAGAAAACCTTGCAGAGCTCTCCGAGTGCTTCGGAATCAATTATGTCAATGCTCGAAAAATTCTCATTTCGTTTCCTGGATCCGCCAGGTAGGATATCGGAATTCTAAGCGCTGTTCTTATTCACCGGATCTCTGACGGTCTCATCTTCCGAATATGGGGATCGTGCATTAATCCTCAGTTTTGATTCCGTCCTTGTGCATTGGAGTAGAGTGGAGATGATGTTTTCCTTTGGCAAAGTGAGGTGTGCGTCGTCAGCCGATTCACTTTCTGATCTCAGTAACGCGATGAGGTTTGTTAGTGGGTATGTATACTGCTTGCCCTTATTGCTGCTCTTGCTGATGCTATTGTTGCGGTTGTTGTTGCTACTGTGGCTGCTATCGTTGTCGAATCCAACGAAGCTTCGTGTGCTGCCTTTTGGTGCGACAGTTCGTCCGAAGCTGCTCATGATCGAGTCGCTTTCTATGGGACACTGTTTTGAACGGGATTTTTCGCTTTTTTCTTTATATTCTCAAAGAGATTGCTCTGTGCTTTCGTGCCTCGAAGTGCCTTAGTGGTGGTTGTGCTGCTTCTGCTTCTGTCGATTGCCCTCGATGTGAAAACGGCCTCCTATGTCCCCAAGTACTGAGGGCAGCTGCCGGAGTGTGCATTCCTTGATTCCTACGTACATCCCTTTCCTCCTAGGTTGAGTGCGCTCGTTCGATAAAGACCATGGATAAGACCTTTGCAGTGGCGGGGAAGTGGGATGATCGATCAGTGAATTGAACCTATGGGGGCTGTGCTTGAGTGCAAACTGAGAACAAGTCTATCAGGGAAAAGGCTGCGATGCGACCGCACATAGTGCTGACTAGGCGGTTCTGAAGCGGTGTCGATTGGGGTCTACTTGTGTTTAGGGTCGCGATTTATATTCAGCGTGCCCAGAGAGATTATCCTGTCGTGCTCTGATTTAGACTTGAGAAGACCCGTGCAGTCTTTCTGATTGATGAAACTGCAAGCGAAAAGATGAGATGGAGTCAATTATCAGACAATTATTATTGAGATTCTGCCAACATTGTAAGAATTATCGAAAAACTATTGAACCGCCGCAAGAGACGGTCCCCAGAATGAGAGTAATTGAATCTTCGTGACAACAGCCACCGTGAGCATAATTCGAGCCGGACGGAGATTTCACGTGAGAAGGATCCATGATCTCGTCTTCTCGTATAGCCACTTGGCTGCTTCAATGCTTCCTAGCGATCGCTAATATACCGCCTATGTTCCCAGTAATCTGAAGAGGCCATCGGCATTTCTGCCCCGTAATCCATCGAATGGCTGGACCCGTAGCCTATTATTCGGCGTCATTGTGTCGTCGCAGAAGATGTGCGCTTCCACGAGCTGCTCACCTGAGAGAACTTCTATCCGCCCCGAAGAACTCGAACGTCTTTCGAAGCGAGTCCGCGGTCGCGAGGTCGAGGTACGGCTTCCGCGAGAGGATCATGCCGTTCTGACGGTTTCCGACATGGATCACATTCACGCAAGAGAATGCGGCTGCGAAGTTATCGTAGTCGGTCGAGATCACCGTGAAATCCTCCCACCACATATCTGCAACGAATTAGAGAATAATCACCTCAGCAATTTTCCCCATCGGTCTTCATTCGCTTCATGTTTCTGAATCTCTCCTCCCGCTCGTCTTCTGACGCTTCAACGTAAGCTCAGGAATTCCGAAAAGGATTCGCGGCGATATCGCGGAGCGATCCACGATCGGAGTGTAAATGCTTTTCCTCGAACTTCGTGCTCTGGTGTTGCCACCGAATCGTTCTCGATGCGAGAATATGGAACGGCAACGCGTTTTTGGAGAGAGACCATGGGTTCTCAGATAATTACAGCGATACTCGATTCAAGATTTGGTTCGCCGCCGACGATTGCATATAATTATGGTGATCTTCCACCAATTTGCACCTATTGATTTTCGATGAGGATACAGATCGATTATCCGTGCGGCAAATCCATATCTCATAGCAGCTTCGAAACGCATCGAGGATTCCGTTTCTTTCTCCTTCTCTGAGGCTCTTCGAATTCAGCCGATCTTGGCTCGCATCCGACCCTGCTTTGGTTTTTCGGACGAAGAAAAGGTACCGACGTTTTCCTCCTTTTCGTTCCTTCTTTCGTGTTTTCCGTGCCGACAAGGGACATCTCGACTAATCCCTTTTCACCGCCAAGTGTCCGCCTTGTATTCGTGAGCGATACGCAACGACAGCTCGGCTCAATTTATTAGCGAGAACTCCATCAATAATATCAGTCGACGGTTTTTCTTTCTCCGAGCCGAGCTGTGGGAATTCTAAGACAGCTCCATCCTGTCGCTAGGCGTAGCTTCGCGGATGTTGACGAGAGCGACGCCTTTTCTGGTCGTATTCATAAACGTTGTCTTGAATAATTCACGCCTAATTATAATGAATGTTCGATCGGAGCAACAAACAACAAAAGCCGACGAATTATCTCTAATATTCGCGGAGCATGGGATGACGTATCCGTGGGATTTAGTCCACTTTTCGGTCGAAGACGTTTCGCCCAGAACTGCTTGTCCATGTTGACGACGACAACTGAGATTTGCAAATTGGAACGCCATCATGATGTCCTAATGGACTGGCTACGGAGCCGCGGCGGCGGCGGCGACAACAACAGGGCTAGCGAAGGCAGTCAGTGAAAAGAGAGACGAGATTGACAGAAGTCGTCGTCTTCGTCGGAGGGAAAGCCTCCGAGAAGGATAAACCCGGTTGGCGAAGCGAGCAGGACGAAATTGCATTTCATGAGCTGTCAATGTTCGATTATCCGCCGTTTGAGAAGAGCGTCGCAAATGGCTGGATTTCACGCTGCTCGAAGCCTCGAGGAAATTGCGGAGTCGGAGAATATCCCTCTCAGAGTTCAGGAACCCGTGCCGCTTGATTTCGGCGGCGGCATACATGTCTCAATCAGTTGATCTCTGAACCGAGATGACGAACGCTGCTCAACGAATGCTTCGGCTTGAATGGATCCCTGATCGCCGCTGCCGCAGACGCGAAGCGAATCACGACAATAGACATTCATATAAACGTCGATAAACATCTACAATTACGCGGATAAAGGCTCCCCGCGAAAGAAGCGCCGATACGCCAAGTTGTCCGCTTACGAGCTCATTTTCGCTCGAGGGAACTATATCGCATTCCGATGGAGTATAATTCGGCAACGAGCCATCTCCGAATCACGATGCTTTCGCGTTATGGTTTCGAGGCGCTATCAACTCACAGATTCGGAGACTTCCCCGAATGAAGTTTTCGAAAAAAATCTCCCTGTCCAATGCTCCCGCGGGGAGGGTCACATGGACCCCGATCAACAATCCGACGTGTGGAAGGTTCGTCTTCCGAATAGTGGAGATCGAGACTTACACATCGAGTATTTGATCTTCATCTTGGCAGGCTCGGTCGGATCCGGCATTCTGAGCGCGGCGGTGTCAATGAAGGTGTGGTCTACGGCTTTCTGCAGCAGACCATACCTCGAATAGGTGACCAGTCTCAGATCTTCGCCGTCGCGCGTGATATTCAGCTTGTGGCACGCGGAGGCCGAAGACGACATCTGGATGACGTACCATACTCCCAGGAACTGGAAAGAGGGGAATGGAAATTAGCATAATACGGAACAGCGACACAGCCGATGTGTAGCCGAATTCAATTCTACGCGTTCCTAACGCTCCTCAGCTCCCACCGTATATCTCCAAATTTCCCCCTGACCCACCAAGTGGCCGGGGTAGCATGAGGGCAAGGAACCGCGTAAACAAAGGAAGCAGGAAAATGAAAGGAGCTGAGAATTCGGCAGGCAGAACACAGACTTGAGAATGTCAGACTTTCGGAGGAGCTCGGGAACGCACAGAAGTACGCCACACCCAATACTGATGAGAACAGCTTTGTGTCCCTTCTCAGTGGAAGCACACAGTAAATTTCGCTCACTACAAAAGAAAACCGGGAAAAGAAGGCGCGTCTCATTGTTTTAAGGGATTCACGCAGCTCTCCGACAGGATCGCAGAAAGAACATCGACAACAACGATACAGGCAATGATTCCCCGAAAGGAATGGAAGTCACCACCCTATCGACTTTCGTTCGGAACGGAGTTCAGTCGAAGACAACGCCGCAGAATGAATACGAGAGGAGCATTTAAAGCCGCGGAGCAGCCGCTAGCCGTCGCGGGTTCTTCCTCGCCGAAAACTCTCCGGCATATCTAACAGGCTGCTAAGACTCCGAAGCCAGAAGAAGCGTGTTTGGCGTACACGCCGCGAAAAACGTTCGGTCTTCCGTAAGTTATTTATTCTTGCTAAAGCGAATGTTTCCCTCTGTTTGAGATCTTCTGACATTCGCTCGTTTCCTCTGAAAGTCGACGTTCTGACTGGGGCCGACTACCTCTCGCTCCGTATTCGGAGTTTGCCAACACGCTTCAACACCTACGATGACGGCTGTGTCTCCTCTCGGCGTCACCATCTTCTCCAAATCAGTTCCAACCGACACCGGCTTAGGCAGAAGATCGGCAAGGCACCGGCGGCCGTCGCGCCTTTTGCGGCGGTGACGGACGGACGTACCGTCCGCAGGTTCGCTCGGCTTGCTCGCTTGCTTGCCTGCCTGCCATCCATAAACGCCATCTTGCGTCAGTGAACTGCGGGGCGCCAATCGAACAGAAAAAGAAAAACGAATCCCGTCCCGCCGCCCGCCCGTAAGCCGCGGCCAGACTACGCCAAATAGACAAGCGGTTACGTAGCGAGACAGGGAACGTGTTTAAAAATTCCTTCGAGTTGCTTCATTTCTCCTGCGGTTCCATTTATCTCTCGACGGGCCGGAGCAGAAAGGCGCTCACAGAAAATAGAGAGAACTTGACCCGGACAATCGACTCGACAGTGGTCGGGCGTTGTATGTTTCTGGACAAAGCATATCCGTTGTCCGCTGGAATCTGAAAAAATCACTGAGGACATCGTGACTCGTCGACGTTTTCTCGTGGGCCACGTCTGCCGGCCTATCTGTGTATTACTCTGTCCGTCGATCTGTCCGGCGAACGGACGGTCGGTGGGTCGGTCGCCTGCTTGCTCGTTCGCTTGGAATGCCTAGCTGCCTATCTTTCGCCCGGTCTGTCGGTCCGTCGCTCGGTTGGTTTGTATTCTTTTCGCTCTGTATATATCCCTCTGTTCGTTTGTGAACGTGTCGCCTGCTAAGGGCACGAGATTCATCCGGTCAGAAACCTTTCGGATTCCGCGAGCATGAACAACTCATTGCATTCATTTACTTGTAAATTGGCACCTTTGGGTGATGTTTTTGCGAACGTGAGCAACGACAGCAACAACAACCGTGCCGACCGAAGGAGCACCAAAAACATTACCTCCACCACGGACAACAATAATGATGTCCCCACCATTAGATGGTATGTCGTGCAGCAACAAATCAATGCGGTGGTGGTGGTGGCTGCCGGTGCTGCTGCCTCATAGGGGCAACACCTCGGCCGCCTACTTCTTCTCCTACCGATCACCCTTGCGACGCCGAATCTCGATTGGAAACTTGCTCCGCGGAGGCTCGCATGCGGGAGTGCACGCGGTGATCCTTCCATAGCCACAACAAAAGCGACGGCTGAATCAATTGTTTCGATTACCGGTGCAACAACAAAGGCCACCGGATCGAGTGCTCCGATCACCGATTCAACAACAATAGCAAGAGCACCAAGAGCTGCTGCGGTGGCGGCGGCGCGGCACCGACACCGCCAACTCAGCCGCAGGGACAATTTCACACGAGTCTCTTTTCAGAGAAAAGGCAGAAGGAAAGCGGCGAACGAAGACGCAACGACCGCGAGAGGCAGCGCTCTTCGACCAGCGTGGGAATTCAATCTACTGGGAGGTCTTTTACTTCAAACTCACAACCATTCGGAAATTTCTGCGGAAAAAAATATATATATCCGAAGGTAAAACACCGAGGAGAATACGAAAAAAAGAAGATGAATCACTACTGCGGCTATGGGGAGCGAATAGCGAGGGAAAAATAAATAAGCGGCGGCAGCGGAACGCGGAGAGACTGGGATACGATTCCGTCGTGGTAGTGGGTCGGATTCTACAATACGATAGAGTCTCTTTTTTCCTTGATTCTCCGCTATCGATTCTCGGCTCACTTTCGACTTACTGCGACGAGAATCGTCGCTATTGAATCAAAGCACAAATTCTCACGAAGAGACTCGTATAGACAACCCTCCATTGCGGTGCGGATCACGAATATACACGGCCGAGTGAGCTGCAGATGGAGCGGATTTCAACTTCTACATTTTTTTCCGGCGAGGCAACGATATGCTAGAGGCGAAGTTTATCGAGTCGCGAGTGAGTCACCGAACCGGTTCTGCCGAGCTTCCGAGTATGGTCCATTAGAAACTGAAGTTCTCGATGCCTAATGATCCGAACGCGAAAGATGTTCGGGAACCCGGACTCGAATGCGGAAGTATTTCACAAATGACCACGTCAGCAGAGGAGAAATCTTCGATGGGAGCCTCGACCACGGGAGCAGGTCGGCTGTGAGTTCCTGGCAGTCGATTCCTGAACTACGCTGAACGTAAACTTGATTTCCTTCCGGCTCAAATCGGAACGAATTTCCGCTGAGGGAGGAAAGCAGCTGGACAAGCTGTGCGAAACGAAGTTCTAGCGGACGAGAACTTCCCGGCAACTTTCTCGACAACCTAGGACCTGCTCGGCGACCCTCGACTCACTGCTGTAGCCCTAAAGCGGCTGAATGACTTGATTGCCGTCTTTACTCGGTCGGATTCCCCGTCATGGCATTTCACTACGAGGTCCGCTGTCCTTGAGAGCGATCTTTCCAAACATGCTCGTAGCTCAAGAGGCCGAACGTCGAAGGTGGTTCGACGAGCGAAAATTCTCCGTCTCGACACACTTATGCAGCGACGTTAAATCTCCTGACTTTTCTGGTCGACTAGCGTTTAGTCGCGGCAATTCGGCTTTCCTTATTGCAATTAAAAGCATTCTTTGGTGCTGCACCCACCGCTCCGAAGGGTGTCATTCTGAATTTTTGGCTCTGGATCCGAAAGACATAATCTGCTTACCCGGTGACTTCTCCCTGACTTTTCCTCGTGAGCGTCACGCTGATTAATGGTTCACACATCGTAGGGATGTAGATAAGGGCAAGGTACAGAGATAGACAGATTTGAATGGTCAGATCGACGTCAGCGATAATAAAACGTAAATTGTCGTAAATCGTCCAAATTGGCCGAAAAAATTCAGCCATCGCAATTTCTGGGGGTTCTCACAGTCTTTGAAAGTTATTACATGATTAGCTCACTCGACAAACACACTCTCACAAAGTGTCATATATACTTAGACGTTTCGGCCGCGCTTACGTACGACGAGGAAGAAGCAGATGACGAGAGAGAAGATCAAAACGAAGGACAAGCAGGGGCACGTCGAAAGTAACAATCGTCTCTCGCGGAGTGGTCGCTCTTACAAAGCGGTCACATGAGTTCGGTGACGAGTGTTGACGTGGATTTAACTGTGAGTCTTCATTTCGCGTCCGTATCTGTCTGTGTGTGTTCCTTCGCCTCCAAAGTCATCAACCATAAAGCCAAATAAGGAGACGGTCGTTTAATGTCCCGAGAATCCATGACAAAGATGGCGTGTGAATTTTCTGCTGCGACTCTTCAGCTAGCCAATCTTCTGTATAAGCGTCCGTAGGTCCGACCGCCCTCCTGTTCGCCTAAAAGTCTGCGTGAGTGTGTAAGCGACGGTATAGATACAACAAACGAGAGGTCATCACCCGAATACCGGATTAAAGGATCCAGGGCCCCCACCTTGCAGCGGTAGATTTGCATAGCTCACTCGCTACCTGTGACTGTTATCTCATTTTCTGTTTTGTCACCCGCTTGCTTTTTCAGAAGAAAATCGAAAAAAAGAAAGATTGAGTCGAAGAAAAACCGAAGCGGAGAGAAAAGCCAATTAAAGACAAGTCGACATTCCCCTCGGAGCGTAAATGAGCATGTGTCTAGATCACTCAGGCCCGGAACGAAATGAAATGAACAAGTGAATAATGAACATCTTTGCTTCTCGAAGTCGTGATTAGAAATTGCATCGCTCGTAAAAAGCGGAATCTTTCTTACTCTCGTCCCTCCTCGGAAGCGACAGAATCGCTTGCTTCCATTTTTCAGGTCGACTGCCATCGAAGTATCGTGAACTGGTCCGCCGCGCCGATACACCCCGGCCGAACTCCGCGTCGGGCAGGCTCGATCATGATTTCAATGAGCTCGGACGCGCCGAAAAATTCGTTAGCCGTGCGATGAGGTTAAGGTTTACGGTGGCGAACGGTGCTGGACGTAGCGAGCGAAACGAACGGATTCGATGGCTTTGGGTGCCTCTGGCTTCACCACCGGCGAGCGTTGTGTGGGTTTGCGGCATTATTTTTTGTTCGTCTCCTACACTCTGCTTCTCGATCTTCTCGCGCGGTCGTGATAGAATCCTTTGTAACGGATCGCGTTTTCACCTTTGGCTGGTCGTACGCTCGAGCTTGAGGCTCAAACAATGACCCAAGCAGAGAAGATGGAGCTCCGAGCGGAGCGAAACATCGGAGGTCGGGAACGAGTTCTGGGAGTAAATATTCCGCTGCCGAAAGTGAATCTCGCGGACGAACAGGTAAGCAGAATCTTTTGGGGCCCTTCCACCAATGACGGCGCACACCATCGTTTACCAGGCGGCGGTCTTACCAAACAGCCGAACGAGCGGTTAGTGCGTCAAGCGACCAGAAAAATCGACAGCATCAACGGTGTTTCGAACAACACCCTCCTTCTCTTTTGTAAACATGAAATACTGACGAAGCGGGTGAAAAAACGCGATAACACCGAAATCCAGCAAAGAAATAGAAAAACACAGAGGATCAACCGAAAATGGCTCAATTGTTGATGTTAACCACAATCGTTCACTTGAATCACCGAGAAGAAGAACCTTCCGTGTCCGATTGACACAGGTTGATGGTGGAATCATGTCTCAACCAATCTGTGGGACGGCCAGACTCACTTAGAGGAGGGACGGTCATAACCACAAACAGCAACAAAGACAGTGGCGGCCACGGCAACGACATCGACTACTACGGCACAACGTTCAGATGAACAACCGTGCGACTGAATCCAATGTCATCTTAATCTGTATGCCTGACTCCGGACAGCTGAGTGCTAGAGTGACTGGAGCACTCGTTCGCTCGCTCGCCGGGAGTATCAAGCAATTGAGGAACGGAGCGACCTGGCAAACAGCAGACAAACGAGATCGCCATGGAGCAGACACAAATAATTTTAGGGTAGCACAAATGTTCGTCAGTCCTAACAAGTGATCATCGTCTTCGTCAACATCAGTAGATTTGGATCTCGTTCGGCCAGCTTGATCGGAAAGAGGTGGACTACGACGAACAGAGAAGAGGGAAAATCCGAGAAAAGGGAAGCAGGGTCGATGGGACCAGGTGCTCAGACACCGCTAGTCCTCGGTACGTTTGCAACTCAAAGGAGCCGCTCGAACATGTCGATCATTGCAGGCGGGGAAACTCCGCGAGGATCGAATCTGTACATCATTCCTCGAGTATCATCTGTATGTGACTTCGTCATGGATAGCTTGAATGCTCCGAGCGAACGACCACGGATAAGACCGGCTCTACACACGAGCCACGTCGGAACTCTCTGACTCTGATCGTCGAACAACACTTCTCTTTTCCTGCTGACAACTCCGAAAATCTCCATCGCGAAATTTTCTCGTTTTTCCCCAACACTTTTTATTTAGAAGTCGTGACTTAGTTTCGATTGTCGTCTTGTCAGTCGGCGGGCCCGGAGTGGTCAACAAGTCGGGCGAGCGAGCAACAAAGCGTGATTTTATTATCAAAAGTGAAAGAGAAATTCGAAAACTTCAACGCTCATGTCCGATGCCCTCAGCCTCATTGAATCTTCTGAACGGATGAGAGAAATGACGACATGGACCTTCATGACGCGATTGATTCCACTGATCTTCCTACGAGCACATGGGGATGAACGGTTTCGGCTCAATTGAGATTCAGAAGTCTCTGACCGCCTACTCGAAATCGAAAATAATGGAAAGACTCGTCTACGCGAGAGTCTTGAAAGATCCATCAACACCGATGTTTAAAGCTTGTCAGGCTGATTAGCTGAATATCCTCCGACCGGCACGAGAGTAACATCAACGTCGATTTATTTGCTTTTAATTGAAATTCTCGGACGTATCTGTGTCTGTGTGCACGTTCTTTGTTTCCTCCTATCTTTCCGCTTCTGATGGACGACGTTTCGTTCCGAGAATGAGCTTTGTACTCATCAATCAAGCCGGATCCCATCAAGCAGCCATCCAGGGCACGACGTTTCGAAATTAGGGGATTATTCAAATTCGATTGACGTATATATTCTATCTCAATGCACGTCGGGGAGAATGGATGAGCCGGAGAAAAGGAACCGGAGAGCTGGAGTTGAAAGTAAGGTGGGGGGGCTCCCGGGAGCTCCGGAAACACGAGAGTATAGTTTTTTGGTCGGGATGATACGTAGAAGAATCTTTAGAAACTCCTATACACATATGGCCGGTAGGGGACAGCGTCGTCGACGTGGGCAATCCAATGGCCAGAGTATGGGATACTCCGCCAGTATTTCAAGCCTGATATCGAGCTGAATGACCATGAACATCCAGCGTTCGCCGATATTCGCCGCCATACTTCCGTGCCGGATTCCCCTTCGGAACGGTAGAATCGAAACTCCCCGATGAGCTCAAGCGGTACATGTATTTCAATGACGACGACATCGGCATCGGGAGCTCAGGAGATCGTATATCTCCGGAGCCGGTGCACATTTCCACGAGATTGCGTAAAAGCAATTTCATGCAACTCTAACCATGGATCGCCAATCCCTCGTAAGTCGCTCGGTCGTCGACGACACCCAATGGATAGGAGACGAAGTTCCCCTCGGAGAAAAACGTATTTTCTGTGTTTTTCTCTCTTCTACTATGCGCCGACTCCTTGTGCACTTTCAATGGCGAGCCGTAGCTAGTTTATTATATTTCCTCTTTTTTTCTACTCGATGCAGGAGACGTTACAGGGACATCCCGAAATAATCTTCTGGCATCCGACAAGTTTCCCTTCACATCTCTTCCTCTACCTGTGTTTTTTCTCTGCCGGATCAAGCGGAGTCGGATGAGCCGAGTGTCGTCCGGCAAACTTACAGACATCCAGAAATGGTCCTCCGCGCACACACTTACAGTAGGCGACTAACGATAGGAAAACTTGGTTTTCCTTCAGGTGTACATTCATGGTGAAGTTACTATGAGGAAAACGGCTCCGTCTTCTGACTGCCCTGGTGCTCGTAACTGAGGGGCGTCCGATATTCTCAACTCGCTGCCTCACGCCTCAAGTCATTGGCGTTGCAAGATGAGTTCGTCGTTAAAATAAACCGAGTTGAGGGGAGCTCCATGTCCACGAAGCCTCATCAACCTCAAGTCTCATAGGAGAACAGTGCGTTACGTGGAGCGATCCCTTAAACATGGGAAACGTCTCCTCGAGAGCTGAGCGGGACCGCGCATGCAAGGAGGTGACGTAAGCCGGGCGAGAAATTTCGACGTCGACGGTACTGCGTCAATCATCCGATGTGATAGAGAGACGACAGACTCTCGGGGCCTAATAATCAAGCATCCCATTGGTTTCATGTCGACATTGGCGACCGAGACAACGCGACTGGGGAAACCCTAGAATATCTCGGTACGAACGCGACGGGGTACAGAGACGAAAATTTTCGATCCAAGATGTGAGCGACCCGCTCCATGAGCGAAACAGCCCTCGTATCACGAACTCTTTTGAACCGTAAAACGAAGTACGCCGTTCTGGATAATCTCCGCTCGGCAACCGGTTATCTATCGGCGCTGTCCAAAATACCTTCGGACTGACCGTCTGTTAGATACACTTGATAAGTCTGTGAACGAACACAGCCACAGAAGAAAATAACATCGACCTGAGCGAGAGCGCTGCATCGGAGCAGCAGGTCTGCGAGCAAACTTCGGCGAACTCAATTGAACGGCAGCAACGTCGAGGAACGACACAAGAATTCAGCTTCGCGAGTTTCTGTCGAGAGTCGACAGCTAGGTGCTAACGTTTGGCTCCTTCGACTCGCTATCCGCTGATGGACTACCGCATGAGATCTCCGATTCCCGTCGCGAATAAAAATCACGCATTCCATCTTAAGCTGATTCCTCGGGTCGAAATACTCATCGATATGGACCGTCGTCGATGTCCATGAGACCCTGTCCCACGATCTCCTCCTCCAACACCGGACACGCGCGGAATTATTCCTGAGCCGGTCGACCGCAGAGTCGATAAGCTTGCTCGCTCGATCAAAAATTATTCGCTTACCTTGTCGATGTCCAGGTGACTCTGGAAAGGCACGTCGGGCGGGCAGGAGCCCAGGTTGTACTGGTGGGAGACGACGGATCCCACCAGTAGCAGCGCGACTGGCAGCACGCAGATAAACTTCATTTCACGGCTCGCGGATAATCCACCTCGAGGAGCCGATGCAGAGGGCGATGGGAGAGAGACGGCCGCTTTATAGAAAGAACGGCGGCAGCGTCGGCGAGGAGAAATACCACTTGAACCGTACCAATAGAGGGGGTGCCGCGAACGCGACCGGCTTCGTTAGCCTTTGTTTGCTCGAGAGAGTCAACATGTCCCCTCCTTCTTAATCGGAGCTTAGTGGTTCGGAAGTGCCGTTCGACGTCTTCTCGACATCCTCGGCGTTTACGGAATCCACGTTCTGATGACGTCGGATGACTCCTACCTGATCGTTGAGAGTCTCCTCTGTCGGCGACTGACTGTGGTCCGTTCTACGGGGGGACGTAGTGACTCATGGAGGCGATGACGAACCTACGAGATGGGAGAGCTCTGTCCACGGAACGTTTGACGGATATAGTACAAATAATGGAAGAGTCTCTCGGTGACTGTGATTCATGGGGAGCAGCTGATGAGCGATTCCGATTTCGCACGGCTCCTGCGATCGGGATCCGGGACGTCTCTGGAGAGCCATCGCGTGGAGACGAGATATCCGGGCTGAGTTCGGGGAAGCCGTAGAAGCTTCCATTCGAAGAAAATGAGTCGAGTAGCGATCTCAACGAGAGGGAGCTCGACTGCCGTGGTACTATTCCACAAGTTTTTGTGCTCTCTAATTTTGGAGGAAGATCTGTTTCCAGAGAAATATTCCATCATTGTTTCTACGGAAAACATGGAACTCGGATACAGTGATCCGTTATCGTTTGCTTCATTCCAGGAATAACAGTCCGTCATCGACTTATTGTAAACTAGATGAACATATGTTTGTTCGCTTTCTTTCTTTGTTCTTTCAGGGCCTCGCTGTACAACATACCGCGACTCAGGGGTACCGATGTAGCGAGGGTATCTGGAGAGAAGAAGAATCTTGGTGTGACTGGTGGCGTCTCCGCTATCTCTCTGAAATCAGCCGTACGCGCTGTTGTAGGAGGAAGAGAACCAGCTGTTGGAGTTCGAGTAGTACTGTGATAGATAGAGCGAGCGACCGAGCGAAACTGGATAGAGATAGCTCGTTTGAGGGAAAATACACGAAGAGCAGGCATGAAGCCCACGAGAAAACGAAGAAGAAGGATACAACTACCGAGAGTAGTAGGAGGCCGACCGCCTGGCGCGAGTTTATGAGTTTTGTTTCCGATAAACTCCCCAATAGCCATCGCGCAAGCAAGCGCATATGTACACACACTAAACATCTGGCTGCGCGGTTCATGATTGACTCATTTTGGCTAGAGTAATCATGCATGTGATGTCGAGCCGGCCGAACGGATGGACTCACGGACAGAGCCTTGATCAGGATCGCTTGATTGTGAGAACAACTGGCGAAATTGGTTTTTTCTCTTTGTTGTTTGCCAGCTAGACAACCACCCAGTTCGGCCGCCCGCCCGCTCGTCCGATCGCCTGCGCGCTGATGAGCGATCCAATGCTCCGAAGAAGCGCTCAGTTTTCAGAGTTTCTCCGGAGCTATCTCAGCGCCAGAAATCGAAGACAGCCGCTTGAATACGACCTGCGGAAGTCGGCTATACGATTCCGCAGTGAGGTGCTCTGAGAATCTCGCCGCCTATATTTTCCGTGCTCCAGAGACTTGCTCCAACTCTTACAGACTTCGTCGCTATCGCGTACCTAGGATACGAGCGCACACATGAGCCCGAATCGGCGAAACTCTGACCCGAGACACATTCCATAGATCGCGGTGTTCGTATCCTTGCGCGCTTCTCTCGACCGTGCCTATCCATGAATGGATCAATCTATCAGTAGCGCCAGTGAGTCATCTACTACAAGAAAACTGACGCATCCGGCCATTCATTGATAGAATCACTCATTCGGAGGAGGGAAGGAGAGAACACCAAGAAAAGATGCGAAAACGTGAACGCCGGGCATTCTTGGAACGGGAGTTAGGCCCAGTCAGGGGCGAGCGCTGCGAGGCGATTCTGACAACGCCTCTCATGCTACTTCAATTTCGCTCTGTTTGAACGTTCCGTAGGGCGCTCCGACGATGAAAGCTCGATTTGTTACTCAGAGCGGATTCAAAAAATACTCGGGCCGGCAGGAGAGCCAACGTCGGATCATGAATGTTGCGGACATACAATCCCCCTGCTCAGATTGCAGATATCGGTCGCATGACGCATGTGTTATGGATTCCGATACTTCGATGGAACATAGAACTCGCTGTTGAACGACGGAAGTCAGAGCCGCCCTGTGCCGATTAGATGCCATCGAGGCCTTCCCAAAGACGCTGCGAAGAATTTTCGGATGTCGGAAAGACTCCGAGCATCTCCCAAGATCGCGGACCGGCGCGAGAAACCGCAGGCTCTTTGCAAAATCCATGACTTTGGCGGGGAATCGACGATTCATCCATTGAATGACGAATCAGACTGGGTCCGAAGAAATTCCGTTCAATGGGAAAACATGTTAAATTGGCCCCCATTTCGGAAGCTCCTCCGAATGGGCCTCGCTTGGACGAACTTTCCATGTGCAGTATGCATGTCTCTCCCTATGTGCGTTGTCTTGGATTTCTTTGGAGCCGATCCTCGGAGACGTTCATTATTGGAGTTATTCACCTCAGCTAAACCGGTAGACTACCGCGTTTTTGCTGCTCCACCCTATCGATGTGCCTATGGATCGGAGCTCCTTCCGCGATTTCGAGAGATTCTCGAAGGATATTGAGAGGGAACTTTCGAATGAGCGGCTTCCTGAAGCCCTGCGAAAGGCGCAACGTCATGAATTCGTGCGGGAGTCGGAACCGTTGAAGAACGAAGGATCGAGACGTCCCAAACTCGTCGGAAGAGGCGGCGAGCAGATTCCGCAGTTTCTTCTCACAAAGCCGGAAACACCCGGAACGGCTACAAAAGAGATCGATATTTCTCCGCTCGACCGTTGCTCTTTTTCTGTTCAGCTTCGGAACTGGGAGTGCATTCGTAAGAAGATTCATCCATTCGAGGTATGCGTCCCGTTTCCGAAATTCTTCTCGCTATACGTGACGACCGGACAATTCCGCATCTGGAAAGGGGATCGGAATCGGCGGTGCTCATAGTACGTATCGTCTTTCATTGTCGATTCGAGACTCACGGTGGAACCTCTCCGCTTCATGCATCTCTTATTTTTCGGTATCATTTGCAACATACTCAGCGTCTGGAGAGCATGTGGAACCTCCCTTGATTTCTTGAAAGATTCTCCTTGCAGAGCAGTGATCTATATAAATTACCGGACCGATCGTTTTGCCCTTGCTCATCGTCTTTTCAATAAAATACGACGGAGTATCGCAAATTGATTACCATATTCTGTCACGAGCTGCACGATCCTCCGATTCCGGATCGAGGGACACCCGGCGGGAGGGGAGTATAAAAACCTCCATTTCTCTATCACACACAATATCGTATTATGTTCCGGTAGCCGATTACTGATAATTGAGATCTCGATAAGGGGAAATCATGCGGGGTGAGAAATGGCTCGTTCGACGACGGGAATGACGACAATGACGGCAACGACGGCTTCAACTTCGGGCTCAAGAACCTGCAACAAATAAACGGCGTAGCGGAATTAAATAGAATCGAGCCCTCATGCCGCCAAGACATGGTGTTTTATTCTGCGGATCATCGCCGGAAAACTGGTGCAAATTGCTCTGAAGGCCTCTTCAGAATCTTTAGGCGGAACGATTTCTCAGTTGTCGTCGTCGTCGATGGCGACGTAAAGAGAGCCGGATCTGATCCGCCGGTCTCGGTCATCGCTCGGTGCCGCCCGCCGCCGCCATTTCTGGTGGACTCACCAAGTTGCTCTTCTCCGAGGAATGTTGAGACGAAAAGCCTCCGGCATCCACCATTTGTACTTCTCAAGGAGGGATCAGAAGCAATGAGGGGAATGAGTTCAGATGAAGCGAGCTCTGCGCTGGAACTTCCCCGTCGTATATAAGACCCTACCGCGCATTGATTTCGAGGATTTCCCTGCCCACTACAGGAACGATCTTTCGGGGAAGCGTCGGCATCACGCGCCTAATCGAGCTCCATTCATCTGCTATGAGCTGTAGTGACCTTCCCGCAAAACAGAAAAGCAGTGTACCGTCTCCTGGTGAATTCCGAGTTCTGAATCATGGGGTGAGGTCTCGAGGCAAGTTTTCTGCAAGCTCGACGGAAATGAGCCTCGGATGATTCGTGTCTCGTCTATGCGTCACCTGCAATGACCCCCACGGCTTGGAGACATCAAGTAGCCCTCTCCGCGAATAATGCTGAAGAGCTGAAGCACCATCTCGATGATCCGGGGATGGCATACTCTTTCACACCAAGAAATGAGTTGTCAGGTCCATCCGATGATAAGGTAAGGTCGGCAAGGCACGATGACAACCGGTCGAACATCGACGCAGGTCTTTCCATAATTCCACCCCATCGGGCCGAGCCAAAATCAATTTATATCACGGACTTCACTTCGGAGAGTGGGAGCGGATATCGCGTTGCTTCATGTTGTTAGTTCAAGGCAGATTCTGCGGTTCAGAGGGTCGGCACCCAAATGGAAAATCTGTCGCCTGAACCGGAGGAATGACACTGATAGATCCTGCGCCTAGAAACCGCTCCCGCGCTCTCTTTCGTTTATTTCTCGGAATTACGTAGCTCGTCTTGGCCTGTCAATTATACGCTTACTGTAGGGACCTCTATCTCTCTCAGAATATCCGTTGATTTACTATATTGCCCGAAACAAGTCATCGGAATGATCTATCATGAAATTCTACGACCTGAGATTGAACTCGCAGAATTCGACTTCAAGTAGTTGAAATCTCGCGCCATCGCACGGAAACATTCTGTTCCAGGGCTCGAACTGGAGTCTGACTTTTGAGAAGCGGGATTCCATGGCCTGATTTTTCTGTGGATTGTGGATTTTTCTGAACTAAGAGAATCGGTTTTACGGAAAATTCACTGTGGAACTTCGTCTTTAAAAAAAGAGCATGCATTCTGCGAGCGCAAATCCAGAGAGGACATCATCCCCA